GATCCGCCAATACGAATACTAAAAAATCAATTTGGCATAAGTCAGCGGAGTGTAAAACTAAAATCTTGACCAGTAAACGGTAAAGGAGCACTATTTAAACAGATAACTGTGGCACTCGAATAATCTCTCTGTCTAGAGACATGTGAAGCAATATTAGTAATTTGCGAAAATCAAATCTAAAATCCTCAGATTTGAAAGGTAAAATTTTGTTGACTGAGTTCTGAGAATCCATTTACTTCACCGTACATTAAAAAAAAGGCATTTCGTAAGTACTCCGTCGCTTCATGGTGCATCTGGGTATTTCTTCCACTCTGTCAAAACCCAGTGAAATGCCAAGTAATTTCATTCTCAGATGCAGTTTTTCTTTCTTCGAACTAAAAATAAGGCGTCGCTAGCTCACGACTGTGGCAATTCCTCTTGCTACAACTCCGGATATTCGCTATTCAAGAAACGAACCTTTTCAAGATTGATTTTATCGCCAATATCAAGCGGTACATTACCATATAACACAATTAAGTCATTCTCGGAAACTTTGAACTGCCGCCTGTTAATATAAACAATGGCAAATAATCGAGTATTTTTTTCTTGCCATTCTTTTTTGATAACATTCATGACCTGAAGGAGCAAAAATCCCACTGCTTGCTAATTTAAAAATGAGATATTTTTCCTCAAAAATATTCTAAAATTAAATTTAAAAGAAAGCCCAACTAACAAAATTCCTCGATGAACAGCAGCTGAAAGAGCACACTGAATCCCGAAATAATTACGTTACAATGGGCTACATTTCACCCCAAAGCAGTCACTGAAATATGCAAGAGAATACCGCCCTTTTCTGCTTCTTTTTTTTTCTGATTACAAAAAAGCATTCGATAGCATTAAGCTGTAAAAGTCGCAGCCGACTGTAAGATAATGACTTCAACTTCAAAACGTAGATGGTAAAGCACCAGTCTTGCCGGTGCGATCAGGCGTTTCTACACTAAACCTGAAGCAGTCAAGTCGACGATAACTGCATGAATGGTTGCTGCTTTTCACTCATCGTGTGCGCTCTTTAGCGTAAATCATCGTAAGTTTTACATAAAGAAAATGAAAAATTTCCGTCGAACAGTCATTCTATGAAAATGACCTAACTGTTCGGTGAGCAATCTCCCCGCGAAGAATTTTCACATGCTCGCACGTAAGAAACCACACACACCTGAGCGCTGAGTTTGAAATCAAGTTGTACGTGGACGGGGAACATCTCCTTAAAATTTTAGCGTCCCAGCTTTTTCTGGTTGCGGAGTTAGCAATTTCCTGCCACAACTTATCCGTGCTCACGCACGTGGCTCAGACATGCGCGAAGGTTGGTGCGGCGGACCTGAGGGCACTTGGCCAAGGAACACACTGGCAAAATCACAGCGCTGAAGCTTGCCTAGTTGCCGAGTTGAAATACTTGAACAAACGTACACACATACACACATCAACACAAATACGCACACACACATAAACATAGACACATAAACACAACCATACACACACAAATACACACACACACACACACGTTATGGATCACCAGAATGTGCGTTTTTGCATTTGTATACATATAACAACGCATAATGACTATAACACGTTATTTTTTGCAGCTATGCAATGCAGAAAACGCATACTGACGAGAGGTTGTCTGTGTGCGTGTGTGTGTGTGTGTGTTCGTCTGTACCGATT